GTTTTCCCTCTCACTTATTACTGAAAATGCGCTCAATAGATGCAATCTATAAAAGAGTAGAAGGTATAAATAAAGTAAAGAATTGATTGTATTTTGAAAACCTAATATGGTTTTGACAATATATATGGTCATTTTAGCAATGATTCTTCACCAGTTAGGTTTCATTAGTAATTAGAATGGTACCAATCTCTATTTTAAATATAAAGCAATGTGGAAATTCTACTTGTAAATGGGATAGTATAGGAGACTAAAACATACCTAATATCTCTGTGTAAAAATTGAAAACTAATTTATTAAAAAAGTAAAAATTAAATATAAAAACAAATAAAAAAAAGAAAAAACAAACAAATGGATCAAATAAAAAGATAAAAAGAGAAGCAAAACAAAATAAAAGTATTGAAATAGATTTTCAAACCAATACTCTTAACACACCAAAGTTATTCCTATTTATAATGAAATTGGATCTTAAAATTAGGAATATAATTTAATTGAAAGTGATTTAAGATAAATAATAACAAGAGAATAAATTTGATTACAAATTGATTTAAACTTATTTATATAAGGCAAGTAACAAATACTATTTAAGGATTTTTTTAAAAAAAATTTGTGACATGGAAATATTTATAAAATCAAGTTTATATGATTTACATTAGACCTGTTCAAAGGTCGAACTATCAACCCAAACCCAAAGGTTTACCTAAGTTTTGATAGGGTTTGGACAAAAAATTAAAAACTCATTAAACGGGCTTGGGCATAATCTTTAGGCTCTTTTAAATTTTAGGCCGCGTTTTGAACAAAAGATTTAAAATCCGAGCTCACTCGACCCAACTCGAATTCACATATATAAAATTTTTATTTTTATATATATGTGAATTATATATAAATTACTTCACATGTATAAATTAAAAATAAAAGTTATATAGTTTATTAAACTTAATTTTTATTTTTATATAATTTTTAGTTTTAATTTTTACATATAAATGAATTAAATTTCATTCCATTAAATTTAATTTAATCACATATATAAATTAAGTTTAATAGATAGGTTTAGGATTTATTTTTTTAAATTGAACCGAGCTTGAAAATTTTTGAAACTTGAATTTCAAATTGAGCCGGGTTTGGACAAGCATATAAGCTATTAATATCAAGTATGAGCTAGGTTCGAACTAAACCTAGCCCGACTTGATCCATGGATACCTTTAATTTGTATTAATTTTTAAGCGATAATATATATAATATTTACTTCTTTAGGTTTCAAATTTTGAAATTTGTAATTAAATTATTGTATATTTTTCATTAAAGTTGCCAAAATAAAGGATATTCAAACTTGGAATTAGATCATAAAAATAATACAAATTTAAATAAAATCTCATTCTTAATGAAATAGTAATAATATGATTCCAAAAATTTTGCTAGCCAATTTTATAAATTAATTTAATTTATTTTATTATTTATTAAGTAATTTAAAATTAATAATTAATTTGCATTAATTAATACATGCAACATCAAGTTAAGCAATTCATGTAAAAAAGAAAAACCATCCATAGTGATTTTTTCCCTTTTTTATGTAAGGTTTTGATTTTTATATATTTATATAAGATTTGGACCAAGCTTAGAAAAATTTTGAAACTCAAAATTTTAGACTAAACCAGGTTTAAACAAGTATATAAGCTATTAATATTAAATATGAACTTGATCTGAACGCGGCTTGGCTTGACCCATAAACACCTCTAATTTGCATTAATTTTGGACAATAATATATATATTATTTACTCTTTAAGGTTTTGAATTTGAAATTTGTAACTAAATTATTATATATTTTTCATTAATTTTGCCAAATATAAAAGATATTCAAGCTTGGAATTATATCATAAAAATAATACAAAGTTAAATAAAATCTCATTCTTAGTGAAATAGTAATAATATGATTTCAAAAATTTTGCTAGCCAATTTTATAAATTAATTTAATTGATTTTGTTATTTATTAAGTATTTTAAAACTAATAATTAACTCGCATTAATTAATAGACACGTGACATCAAGTTAAGCAATCCATGTGTTAAAAAATTAACCATCCACATTATTTTTTTTTTACGTAAGGTTTTAATTTTATATATTTATATAAGATTTGGATTGGACTTAAAAAAATTTTTAGACTTAAAATTTTGGACTGAGTCAGGTTTAGATAAGCATATAAATGATTAATACCAATCATGAGCTTAGTTCAAATTTGACCCAGTCTGACCCATGAACACCTCTAATTTGCATTAATTTTTGAGCGGTAATAGATATTATTTACTCATTTAGGTTTTGAAATTTGAAATTTGTAATTAAATTATCATAATTTTTTAGTAATATTGCAAAAAATAAAGGATATTCAAACTTGAAATTAGATCATGAAAATAATACAAATTTAAATAAAATCTCATTCTTATTGAAATAATAATAGTATGATTCAAAAAATTTTGCTAGCTAATTTTATAAATTAACTTAATTAATTTGTTACTTATTAAGTATTTTAAAATTAATAATTAATTTGCATTAATTAATGTCACGTGACATCAAGTTAAGCAATCCATGTGCAAAAAAAAAATCATCTACATTGAATTTTTTTTAATTTTATATATTTATATAAAATTCTACATTAATTAAATATAATCTATATCATCAAAAATAACTTTACCAAATAAATGCAACATCTAAGATCATATTTATAGTCTTGGAATTCTAGCTGGAACATTGGCCCTTTTGTTGTTTGGAGTATTATCAACTATAGATTCTTTCATGGAACCTTTGTATTCAGAATCATAGGCATATATGCACCGAATTCTGCATCATTTTTGGTTGGAGCATCTTCATCTTTGGATTCTTTGCCTGAATTATTACCAAACTGATAAGCACCAAACTCAGGATCATTTACACCTTTTTGATCTGGAGCAATATCGCCTGAGCTGAACCTTATATCAAAATTTATGCTATCTTCTCTGCCTCCATATCTATAATTGAGGAAGTAATTTAACTGAATATCTCCAACCTTAGATGCTCTTGAATCTTGGTTGATTAATCTAATTTTGATAGATGTAACCTATAATCCCCTGGAATTCTTTTTATTTTTTTTTTCGGTTTTTTCCCTTAAGTTTCATTTATTTCCCAAGTTGACAGTGACCCAATTTCCCAAGTTTGTTTGCATATTGGATATTGCGATAATCCCAATCATTTTATGGTATAATCAAAACGCTGTAATTAATATTTTCCAAACAAGCCTCAATTATATCGCTTATTTATTATTTATTCTGCATCCGATAGTTTTAGTAGTCTAGATTACATCACTTGGAAATTTCGTGGCTATATCCATATATAAAATAAAATCTGAAAAACATTAATTACATGTATATATAAACACATCCACCAACGTTCATCATTTCATATCCAAGCCTGTCACAGCATTTCTCTGCTTCAATGGCATTTCATTACCTTCTCCTCTTCGCTTTACTCAATTTGAGGCTTCAGTGCTCAGCACAGCGATATTTAGTATCTGTTATTACATTTGCTTAATTTTTTTGGTCCTTATATTTACTTCACTCACTCTATAATAAGTGAAGCTAATGGAAATTCCTCAAAACTTTGGCAGCTTGCTGCAGGAAGTCATGGTGCTGTACCTGAGGAGGATTATTGGAAGTCTGTGTTCCCAAATACTCCAATGCCAAAAGCATTGAGAGATCTTTTACCTCTAGCTGGTTTGTTTTTAAATATTTGAACTATATTTCAAAGATATTTTTTTTCTTGAAACTATCTATTATTAGTGACAAATGACCAATAGTAGTTTGTTGATAAAATATTATATTTATTGAGAATAATGACTCAAATCTTGAAATATTTATTGAAAATTGATTAGATATAAATTGATAAATAAAAAGACTTGAATGAGAAGAGTTCTACGATGAAATGAATTTTTAATAAGTAAATTTGTATGATTATAAATAGGTGGAGTTTTCATAGAATTAGATATGAAAAAAATATGTAATAAAGTTGTAAGATTTTATGGAATAAACATCTTATAAAATTATTGGAGATTGATATCTTATAGGTGTATATATTTAAATTATTAACAAATAATTAGTTATATTAACACTGTATCAACAGAGAATTAGTTATACAAGAAAGACACATTTTTTAAATTTTATTTTATTGATTATTTATTTTTTCATAATTAATATTATTATACAATTTTTTTTATTTAAAAAAATTGAAATGTGAGCTGGTATGAACAACTTATTTTTATTTAGGTTCCACCTGGGTAGCAAAATAAAACCTATATTTCAGGCCAAGTAGGATTTGGAATGCTTAAAACTTATTAATATCCTGTTTAGACCAAGTTCAATCCATGTATAGATCTAGTATAATCCATTAAGTTTCACAAATTCTGATTGCTATAAAAGTTTGGGTAAATATTAGTTTACGCGTTTTAAATCTAAAATACAAAAATTTTATATATAATTAATCAAGTTTTTTTCCCTTAAATTATTCAATGCTTCTTCTAATTAACTGTTGAAGTTTTGGAATTTCTTTTCGTTTAGGATTATTATTCTGATATTTTCCCAATCAGCTTCAGGAACCAAGAACATGTTGGCAGACATGGTTAAGGATGATAAGAAACCAACAGCCGGCTTTGGGAATTATGCATATTCAGATCCAAGCAAGGAATTCAAAGGTGACAACGACACAAACCAACATTAATGTTTATTTACGAAAGAGTTAGTTTTATAAATAATCCATAAAACATAGTAAAATATTTAATGTGACATTTAAATTTTAAAAATTATTAATGTGATATCTTAATTATAATTTTATTAATAAATAATTAATTATATCAGTACTTTATCAACAGATAATTAATTATACATGAAAGACACATTTTTTTAATTTAATTTTATTGATTTTTAATTTTTTCATAATTAATATTATTATACAATTTATTTTTATTTTTTTATTTAAAAAAATTGAAATGTGGGCTGGTATGAGCAACTTATTTTTTTTTAGGTCCAACCTGGGTAGCAAAATAAAACCTATATTTCAGGCCGAGTAGGATTTGGGATGCTTAAAACTTATTAATATCCTGTTTAGACCAAGTTCAATCCAGGTATAGATCTAGTATAATCCATTAAGTTTCACAAATTCTGATTGCTATAAAAGTTTGGGTAAATATTAGTTTACGCGTTTTAAATCTAAAATACAAAAGTTTTATATATAATTAATCAAGTTTTTTTCCCTTAAATTATTCAATGCTTCTTCTAATTAACTGTTGAAGTTTTGGAATTTCTTTTCGTTTAGGATTATTATTCTGATATTTTCCCAATCAGCTTCAGGAACCAAGAACATGTTGGCAGACATGGTTAAGGATGATAAGAAACCAACAGCCGGCTTTGGGAATTATGCATATTCAGATCCAAGCAAGGAATTCAAAGGTGACAACGACACAAACCAACATTAATGTTTATAATAAAACATTTAATTTATCAATAAGTATTTGATTTAATCGATTAAGGTTCGTATTTTTCGATAAAAAAATTTTGAGTTCAAGTCTTTTTCGTAATCATTTATTAGGATAATCTCGAATGCATGACCTATAACTACCAATCTTAGGTTGTCAAGTATAGCACATTTTACCTTGACTTGAAAGATTGGACAACCTATCTACCTCCGGATTTTTTCTACAAAAAAAATAAAATATTTAATTTGATATTTAAATTTTAAAAATTTTAATGTGATATATAAATTATAAATTTATTAATAAATAATTAATTATATTAGCACTTTATCAACAAATAATTAATTATACATGCAAGACATTTTTTTAATTTAATTTAATTGATTATTTATTTTTTCATAATTAATAGTATTATACAATTTATTTTTATTTTTCTATTTAAAAAAATTGAAATGTGGGCTGGTATGAGCAACTTATTTTCATTTAAGGTCCAACCTGGGTAGCAAAACAAAACCTATTTTTTAGGCCGAGTAGGATTTGGAAAGGTTAAAACTTAATAATATCCCGTTTAAGCCCGGCTCAATCCTGTATAGATTTGGTATAATCCATTAAATTCGACAAATTCTGATTTTTATAAAAGTTTGGGTAAATAGTAGTTATGAGTTTTAAGTCTAAATCAAATTCTTTTCTTTAATCGTTTAAATTATTCAATGGTTCTTCAAATTTATTTATAATTAACAGTTGAAGTACTTGGAATTTCTTTTCACTTAGGATTCTAAATTGAAGTCTTTTTGAAATCAAATTCAGGAAGCAAGAACATGTTGGGTGACATGGTTAAGAACAATGATAAAGTAGTAGACGACCGTGCAAATTATGGATATGGAAATCCAAGCAAGGAATTTGCAGATGGAAACGCCCCAACCAACAAAGATGTCTACTTTTTTGAGAGCGAGCTGCATCCTGGTAGGACGATGATTTTAAAGGACCTAACCAAAAAAGCAAGCAAAGCAACATTCCTACCACGTTCAGTTGCAGAGTCGATCCCCTTTTCAACCCAAAAGATTCCGGAAATCTTGAAATATTTTTCACTGGAAGCAAAATCAGCAGAAGCTAACTTACTCAAAGAAACAATTGAGAATTGTGAAAGACCTGCCCTCGGAGGAGAAGAAAAGTATTGTGCTACATCATTTGAATCGTTTGTCGATTTGGGTGTTTCCAAGCTAGGAAAAAACATCCAGCTTCTGTCAAATGAATTGGAAAAAGAAACACAAAACCAAGAGTTTACTATTGGGCAGGGAGTGAAAATGATGGGAGAATCAGAGATCGTTTGTCACAAGATGAAGTATGCATATGCTGTGTTTTTATGCCATTCCATTGATAAAACAGCTGTGTATACGGTTCCATTAGTTGGGGCAGATGGGACAAGAGCTAAGGCGTTGGCTGTTTGTCACAAAGATACATCAACTTGGAACCCCAAGCACTTGGCTTTTCAGATCCTCAAAGTTAAGCCAGGAACAGTCCCCATTTGCCATTTCCTAGTCAGAGAGACCCTTGTCTGGCTTCCCAACTAAAATTGCTACAAGATCAGTACAAAATGGCACCTGATATATATATTTATACATATATATATATATATGTATGTTTGTATATATAAGTAATAGCCTGAGAGGCTTAACGAGTTATGTTAAATAAAATGGCACCTGATATATATACATATATATGTGTATGTATGTGCATATGTGCCGAATGTTTTAATGAAATAACTTATGTTTTATCTGCTATCAGTTGTCCTGTGTCCTGAGTCATTGTGCTGAATGTTTTCATAAAGTTATCTATAATACATAAAGAAAATACATAATTCAACATCGATGGAAGCATTATTATTATCATTGCAGTACAAATGAATGAAAATCATATTTATCATGGATATATAATAGGTAAACCTAGAAACGGATACTCTCTGTCCTATCAGTCTTTCCATCTTTTCTTTCTTCACTTTTTCATATGCAAAAGCCCAAGGAATTTGGCCATATGAAAGAACAAAAACAAAAAAAACAAAAAAAACAAAAAAACAAACGGAAAAAAATAGGTTGACACATAGGTATATAACTTCGTAAATTCAAAATGTTGTGAAATTTAATGTGCGGATTTCATCGACAAAAAATTGAGGAATTGGTTCAGAGAAGAGTTATAAAAAAAAAAAAAAGGATATGAGCGTAATTCTAATCGAAAAAAAAAAATTAAAAATAACAGCTCACGCATATTAAAATTAATCACAAAGAGCTAATCCACTCATCATATTTCCACAATGAATGGAAAGTTAGGAGAAAAGACATTTAGAATTTTTTTTGCAAGGATATTCGAAAATTTTATGAGTAGATAATTTTGAAAACTTAATCTTTTTAAATAATACCTAAATTTATTTTATTTATATTTGAAGCTGTACTTATCCTAAAACTGTATCAATTATACAAAGAAGATATCAAATTTGTCCTAATTGTAAATATGAAAAGTTTATGTTAATTTTAAGGATAATTCATCGGCATCTTGAAGATTGATACTAATTCATCCTAGTCTATTAGTTTCAGTACTGGACAACAACTCTAAATATAAATATATTAACAAAAATAAAAAAAATTTATGAAAATACCATACACAGGTTAAACCTTTATTAACAAACCAAAAAAAAATTGATAACATATATAATATTATTATAAACATACATTAAACCTGATAATTTTGTTAACTTGAACATTTAAGTGGATGGTTTCTCTTTTGGAGATGGAGGAAAATTTTGTTTGTTCCAAAAAGTATGCATGTATCTCATAAAATTTTTTTGACAATTCATGAATGTTAGAGCTGAGGAAGAAAATCAGTCTAGCACAATAATAACACTTTTGAAGTATTTTGACAATTAAAAGTAAAAAATATTGATTTAATTGTTTAAGCATTGTTTGTTGGTTTTATTTGTTTAATTAAAAAAGATTGTATAGATTTACTTGCAATTGTTGATTTTGTTGCACTTTTCTTTTATTTGTTTTTTTTTAATTTATAAATAAAAGCAAATGACTAAAATGCAGTACTAATTCTAAAATAATTATTTAATATAAAAGTAAAATCATGTTTATTTATTAGAAATTAAATTTTATAATTTAATTTTTTATAAGCCTAAAACAAGTATAAAAATTAATTTCATAAATCTTATAGATGTTAAAGATCAAGATATTATTAAAACTCAAGCAAAAACTATACATATAAATAAATTATCACACATATTATTTAAACAATTAAAATCATTGCTTTTTTCAAATAAATAAAACTTATTTTAAAATTATATAAACTTGTAAGTGTATAAAAATAATTGCATAAGATAAAAATGGCACAAATTGAAGAAAGTTAATTGAAGTACTGATGAAACTTTGTTTAATATTTTGTTCATGTACTTAATACTAAAATTTATATACAAATTTTTTGTATATTTAATTTTTCCTCAAATATTATTATGTTTTGAATTTTTTAATTCTTTAATTAAAATTTTTAATTTTATTATGTTTTGATATGTTAATTATGTTAGTTGTAGTTTACATATATATTGAATATCTAAGTGATTAAATTATATTAATTTATATATCTAAACATATTTAAACAAATAAAAATAATCTATGTATTGCACGATATAACACGCTAATTTATTCTAAAAAAATAAATTAGATTAGAAAAATAGAAAATATATATATTTCATTTCAAACTAAAAATATTACGTATACTTCACTATAAAAAATTATTTAGGTGTTTTTAATATTTAAAATATTTATATTTTTGCATACTTTTGTTGATATGATTAATTGAAGTTCTTAAAAATCATATATAATATTATATTACAACATATATAAAAATTTGATAAATTTTACTTACGTAGATGCTTAAGTGGATAATCTACATTATTGATACGTAGGATACTTCTAAATAATTTTATTCAATCAATTATTTAATTTTAAAAATTTTAAAGTTTCGAAATTTACAGTTGTACAAGTTTTTCAAAATATATAAGTTTTATCTTGATTTAAATTTGAAAAAACATATCTCTACCTCAATTTTACTCATTTACATGAAAAACAAAATTCAAATAATTTTTAAAGGTTAAATCTTAAATTTTAGAAATCATAAAAAATCATACACTATCTAAATCAATATTCACATTCATTGTTATTTACCAATTTTTTGCCTTTATTTTTCTATGATTTAAAATAAAAGAGAAAAAATATTTTATCTCAATTTAAAATTACATACATATCTAAATTTAAACTTAGACAAACTACATTTTTAAAATTTTAAAATTTTTAAAATTAAATAATTATCAAATATATATTTATAATTTTTTCACAATCAATATTTTCTTCTTTATAAAAAATAAAGCAATAAGATTTTGATCACAAAAGTTTGGCATAATAAAGTTTCAAAATCAAACATGAAAAAGTCTTTCATGATATATCACATGTATAAATCTTAGTTTTTATACTAAAATAATATATACTTTTAAGAGTGTATATAATTTTGAACAAGAGATTGATTTTCTCTTTGAGATTTGTATGTAATTTTACTTTTATAATTCAAAGTTTTTATAATGCTTATTTGGATTCTTTCATAATAATTTATATATAGAAGATTTTTATAATTTTAAACTATAAATTATAGATGATTACAAATATTTTTATTTATTTATATATGATATAAAAATTAATATAAATTAAAATTTTAAATTATAAAAATATAATAAAAAAATCTATGTATGGTACAAGTAAAAAAACTAGTTTATTTTAATAAAGTAAAATGCAAGATAAAAAATGAAAAATACACTCAAACATTTTACTTAATGAAAATTTTCATCATTTGAGTCACAATTGAAAATATTTTTCACTTAAAAATTTCTAAAAAAGTTAACAATTCATAATTTTTTAAGAATTTCATTATTGGATTTTTCATTAAAGATCTAAATTTTAATTCCAAATTTTATTTTACTATTTTTCTAAATTTCTCACTTTAATTTTATTTTTATTTGAAAATAAATGTCAATTATTATTATTGAAATTTTATTTAAATATTATAATCATTTTTATCAAATTAAAAAAAACTTATAATCAGAAATTTCTTAGATAACTTTTATTTTATTTTCAAATTTTTATTACATTTTGTTTTTCTTTTGTTTAAATTTAAAATCTAGATGTCTGAAAGGTTGTTTTTTGAGATGCCTGTGAAAGATGTCCCGGCCTGGAACTCAATGATTTATGGGTATTTGAAGCTTGGGATGGTTGATGAGGAGTTTGTTTCGAGAGATGCCATCTAGGCGTGTGATTTCATGGACTTCAATGATTGATGGGCTGGATTCTAATGGAAGGACGGATGAAGCTTTGATCTTTGTGTTCAACTTTGATCTTTGAGGTCACGCCAACATGGATATTGATCAAGGGTAAAAAAATTATTTTACATATTAAACAGCTGTTAATCTCTAAAACCCACTAGCATAGATAAATTTAATATATATATATATATATTATAATAATATTTATAAACAAGTTTGTCACGTCAGCACTAATATAGATAACTTTCTTAAATTACAAATAAGATAATTTTTTTAAAAAATAAGATAATTTATGTTAATTAACAATTCATAATTCTTTAAGAATTTTAAATATCGAAATTATTCAAATTATAATTGAAAATCAAATCAATTTAGAGATATATTTTTTAAAATTAAAAATATAAAATATGAATTTTATTTTTTTAATAAATAATTTTAATTGTTTATCAAATAACTTTTTTTAAAAAAATTATTTAATTATCAAAATCTTTCAAGCATATTTAAAAATTACAAAAATTAAGTTTATTTAAATCTTTCAATAATCTTTTTTATCTTGATTTAAAAAATTTACGTAAAACATTAAAAATTCAAGTAATTTTATGTAAGATTTTGAAAATTTAAAAAATTTTCATCTTAAATTTTTAAATAATAAGATCATCAAAACGATTATATCCATTTAAACTCTAATTATCAAATTTATATTTTGAATAGATGCAAAAAATTTAACATTATTTTATCACTTATTATGTCCATTTTAAATTTAAAAAAATTAATTTAAAAATTATTTATTTAATCTTAATTACCACTAAAGAATTCTTATGCAAATTTAAAACTACAAATATAATGTGTTATACATCATTTTTTTTCAGTAATTTTTTTCTAAGGTATATTCTATTACCATTGCAATATTTTTTTTGTTTATAACTTTTTTTCAAGATATATTTTATTATTATTATAGTTTCATCCTTATGAAAAATAATATTTTTTTCAATTTATTTTTTCTTCTTTCACATATTTTCTAACATTTTTCATATTTTGCATAATAATTTAGTCAAGATTATTAAAGCGAAAGTATGTTAATACTTCTTTTATTATTTAATTTATCATTCAGTGATATATATTTTTATTTTTTTTAAGAAAAGCATAGTTTATTTTAATTTGATATAATCTTACAGGTGTATAAATATTATTGTAAAGACATAATTTTTTTCTTATTATTTTTAGAAAGTTT